GAGTTTAGGAATTGGGTTTCGCAGATCCGATTGGCACGATCCATGAGGGTTTTGATAATGAGGGTTTTGATAAGAAGACCCACACCAGCCATCGTATGCCGGCCGTGAAAGCCTTCGACAATACATATATCTTGTCCTTGCTTTGCTGTGCAGACTTCATTTTCTATTTTCTTGCAGGCAGTTGTTGAAACTCTTAAGAATTACAGCTAAGGGTTGAGGTTTTTAATATGTAATTGCACATTTTAATGAATGCATATTATATACCATAACTAAATGTATTTAAAATGCGTAATGGATGTGAACTTCTGACAGAAAAACAAACTCTAGGGGATTATTTCTGTGGCTTGTGTTGAAACAATTTTTACGTGAAGGTGAATGTCAAGTTGTCAGATAAGTCCTATTGTCCGCATCCATGAAATGCAGCAACAAAAGCTGAAAATATGAATATGCCAGGAGGTGTTCACTTTTTTGTCACCTGCCACAAGGATGATTCCCAAGCCGCTGAATTCCCATAGCAGCTTTCCCTTCATCTAGACAGTTATGCATTTTGAATTTCTGTGTGATAAAGAAACTTAGTGGTGACTTTTTTGCCCTAGCATCCCCCTGCTAAGGCAGTATGGATGAAGATGAGGATGATGATGAGTATCAGCCAAATAGCTTGTGAAATAGAACACTTTCTTGCTTATAGCCCTGACTTCTTCTACATAAACACTCAGTAAACAAGTAAACATTTAGGTAAATAAATGTTTCTATCTAACAGTAACACTCTCACCTGCTTTTGTTCAGTAATGATAGTTCCTCTTTATTTCACGGATAAAAGCTTATGCTACTGACCAGTTTTTATTAATGTTCACAAAACTCAAGCTAGCCCATGGGAATGGGCAAGAAAAGAGATGTAGCGTTAGTAAATTCATTTTAAGTGACCTCTTTGGTAATTCTGAATAGTCATTTAGATTCGTGCATTTCAGTTGCAAAGACTGTCAAGTGCAATAGCTTTGTGTTTGTTGGCTTTTAAAATCAACACATTTCCAAAGCAAATACTGTATTTGAAAAAAATAATTTGGCAGTGAAATTGTATTTATTGGATTTTGTCTTGATTTACAATTGCAAATTCTTTCAAGGCTGTTTACAAGATTTCAATACACAAACAGCTGTATTAAAATTAATTCCATGAAATGCAAAGCACAAATACAGGTCATTAAAAATGTTACAAAAAAGCATTATTTGGATCCAAAAAAATCTGGGAGCTACAACTAATGCAACTAGATGCCAGGTGGAAAACCCCAAGGAGAGAATTAGCAAGAGATTTTTTAAAAATTCTGTCAAGTGGAAAACAATCCGTTCAAAAAATATTGGGACCTGCTTTTTTTTTCAACAGAAAGAGCTTTCTTGAACCATGTACTGGGCAGGTAGGCATCGGAAGGAATGGACAGTTTCTTGAATAATGCAATAAGTGAAAGCTTGGTAGGCTTTTATATAGGATTTTGAAGAATATTTTAAAAATATATTTCATATAATATTTCAGGAAAATTGAAGTAAGGCTTCTAATGAAAGATTTGGAATTGAAAAAAATACTTTGAATAGATAAGATACTGTGAATGAGCTAAAACAGTATGAGTAATTATTATGTGTGTTTACTTCCCAGTGACACAAGAGCTCATTTGCACTTTGATTTAATATCTACTGGCAGCTTCAAGCCTATCCAGATGAAAGATCTCTTCATCCATATTAACAGCTGTCTTAGTTATAATTAATTAGCCCCAAATCACCTTCCTCAGAGCTGTTTTTCTTCTCTTTTAATTTAAACATCTAGCTATAATAAATACATAAACTGAATTACATTATTACCGAAGGGAAATTAAAATAGGATGCACAACAAAGAACATGAGTGTGAAAACAGAAATAAATTTTGAATTATACTAGTAACCAAGTACAGATTGAATCTACCATTCACCTAAAGGACGAAGCTGCTAGAATACCAACAGGATAGTTTCACAAATGTGTGTCTTTCTTGATGTCATAGAAAAGATTTTCTCATATGGAAAAACACAACAGGCCAATTCAAGAATGGAAAGATCCTCTAGACTGAAGTTTTATATGATTAAGAAATATAAAATCAAAAGCATTAAAAAGAAAAGAATACAGAAAGAATATACTATATTTTGTCCATAATATCTAGCACATGTCACATACTCATATTTTTAATGGTATGAGTTAATGCTAAAAACACAATTGTTTAGACTATACAAATAGAAATGTATCCAAACAATGAACAGAAAATATTGTCCCCTGCCATCAGGAAGTAGACAGCAAACCTGGAAAATGCTATCAAGTTTTTCAATGTAGGAAATGCTTTTTCTGAAAAATTAATCCACTGTAGATTAATTAGAAATCATATTTATATACTTTCATATGGACTTAGTGATGGGATACCAAAGGCATGGTCTCAAACTAAAAAAACAAACTAAGGGCCCATTTCTCCTTACCTTTTTAAAACTAGAGTAGCAGAAGTAACTCAGGATGCAGATCTTACAAGGGCAATGATGCTACTCAATAGGCCAGTCTTGGACCCAATGATTTTGGACAACTATTGTCCTGTTTCCAACCTTCCCTTTTTAAGGAAGGTTGTTGAGAAGGTGGTCAGATAGCAGGTTTAGCACAGGGAACTCCAGGAGACCATGCAGATTCAATCCAACAAGGTTTATTAGCTGCAACCTCTACCAAGAGTCTTCCCAGACTGAAACCTG